TGGAAATTTTGTGGAGATAATGTTCCTCGAGAAGAAATAATGTATTTTGTACAATTATTCATCTGTGTATCTCTCATTATCACCAGTGTTGTCATGTTAGCTTTACACAATCCCAATCGAGAATATTGGATGGTGTGTGTCAGTTCTTCGATGAGTTACATAATGCCTAGTCCTACGATCATTCACCTACCCCCAAGAAGACCACTAATCCACAGGGTTAATGAGGTTTTCCAGGTAGTCTAAAAATAGATACACAACAGGGTAAAAAATGGCAAGCAAAGATTTTTTATTCTCATTTCTGATCTCACTGAAGACAGAGCTACATGGGTTTTTTTTAAGCTCAGAGTATCGTTGGAATATTGAAGAACCTTCAGGTTCCACTAAAAAGGGAGCATGGATGAAAAACAAAGAGGAATGTATCCAAGATTTCATGGATAAGAATCCAGGAGAAACAGGAGTCAACAGTGTATACCTGTATATAAGAGACTAAAGTTCCCGAAGGAATTGACAAAAACCATGGTATTGTTATGCTCAAAGAAAAAAAAACCCAATGAGGAGTTCAAAGAGAAAGTGAAATATGTCTTGGCTCACAGAAAACAGGATCCAGAAAGCACCTGGATCCAAGGGTAATGGATGAAGCCATTGATTGTATCAGATTATGTGAATAAGGTGAAAAAGGGAGGATACGAGACCATGGACTGTGCATGCGAAACATGATATTTGTACATAAGAAGATTTTCTTCCTATAAAAAACAGAACAGCACAAAAGTTTTGAATGTTTATTAATATGATGTTTTTGTTGTTGTTGTTGTGAATTAAAAAAAATATAAACACACATGTCTTATTTTTTTCTCCCCAGCTGTGATGTGATGACGGCACAATGGGTAGCTGACTCAGCAAAAAAAACGAAGGTCTTGCACACGACACTTTTTCTGCAGGTGTTTTAAGAATAGAATCTCATGCTATATAATTATAGCAAAAAATGTCTAAAATTAGTATTATTCCATCGTCGCAAACCACGGTTTTGAGTCCACAAGCTACCTCGTGATGATAGAGAGAATCGATGTGAATCATCCGTGGGTTACCGACGATGGTATTATTCGAACTTTTTTCATGTGAGTAAAATGCTGCCTCAGCATTTGAGTTTTCCAGAGCGGTTAAAAATAGATTTGAAAAGGTATTTAAAGAGGTAGACAAAAACCATCTCATTCTAGAAAAGTCAATTCAAATTGTCCGACGTAAAGATGGAGTATCATTGGTCTATTAACGAATATAGCCTGGGGCCTTTGATGAAAACTAAAGAAGAAACTATCCAGGATTTCAAGAAACCCACCCAAAAACAAATCTAAAAACAAAAAAGTGTGGTTGGAAAAAAGAGTGAAATTCTATCCTGAAGATTGTGATAAGAGAAGGAACCAATACTCTGTTGAGGCGATGTATGATTATTATGGATGTCAAAAATACAAATGAGTGATCCCGGCTGATCATTATGATGTGGTTGAAAGTACCTGGTTCTCGAATTTACAATGCTCTTTTCATGATTTCTCCTATAAGCAGATAAAAGGACTTCTTCGAGACACTTATACATTTTACATGCAGTATATCCCCTTCCATCCCTTTTTTTTCCAGATCAAAGATAAAACTTGGAAAATGGAAGAAGGACTCGGTCTGTGTGAGAAAAAAGTGATTTCCATTACCGAAGATGTGTATATATATTGTCCTAATAAAATATTTTATTTAAAAAAAATGTTGTTGGTTTTTCCTTAGATACTAAAATTAGATATCTGACAAAGGTATATAAATTTAAGAGGTATGCCAAAAGACATCTCATTCTAGAGAAGTCAATAGAAGTCTAGAGAAGTTAATCGAGTAAATTACGACACTCATGTTCGTCAATTCGAATCTTTGTACCTTTTCCCTTAAGTCTAGCTCATAAATAAGGACTCCACAGTCGTAAATTAGTCCCGGAAAATTGGAGAGAAGACACTACCAAATGGATTAACATCAGCTATCTGGCTCCGGACTGCGGATTTATACCGAAATTCAAAATCCGTGTACGTGTATTGTGATCTGATTCAACCCCAGACCGTAGGATCGAATGTCTTGAATTTATTAAGAGGGGTCCCTTGTCAATTTGAACAGAAAGACAATCAATGTAAATGGGAACCCATTCGTGCGGAATATGTCCCTTTGAATAAAAAACATTTCGATACCATCGCGATTCATATCAATGTCTCCTCTAGGGACTCCCATGCCCTTTTTAAGTGGAAATTCAATCGTTAAACTTCATTTCAGAAAAAAATACTGATGGGTGTACTGGTCGCTTGTCTATATTCAGCCGTAAGAGGGTATAAAAGAAGTTCCTGAGTGCAGGAAAGTCAGTTTGACACGAGTTAGGAACCTTGCAGTATCATTCAGGATTATTGAGACAGACAGGACACGGTTGGACTTATCATAAATGATTGGACAGAAGAAAATACGTGTATTGTGAGAAGAAAATCGGACAGAAGATTAACATCAGCTATCTGGCTCCGGACACTTATTTACGAGTCAGACTTAAGGGAAGAGGTACTAAGATTCGAATTTGACGTAACGGGTTGGGTTGAGTAGTTTCTGAGTTGGTTGAAGTCATTCCATAACCATCTACTGGACTAATTAATCCCATATTTCTTTCACCCAAATATAGGAAATTGCCATGTATTTGAAATCTCAAAGAGGAGGTTATTTTTTAAACCTCATTTGGGAGGCTGTACCTAACTAACCCCTAGTTATGACTTTAAAAGAAGGTGTCCAACAGTTGGGCTTAAACCGGCAAAGAGGTCGAAGATTTCTTAAAGTTGTACTTAGAAGGGGCCGTAATGAAGCCCTGATTACCGGAGCTAAAATGGGGACGAATGTGGCTAGAAAAAAGAGAAGTATCAAAAAAAGCTATTTTTACCCACGGACTCAATGCCGTCAAAAATACAGGAATATTTGACCTCAATAATGGAGGAACGTTACCCTTTAAAAAGAAGAAGAATGGTCAAAAAGGTAAAGGAAGAAGAAGAAGACAGACAGGGAGACATTTGTTGACCAGAAGAGGTCCTAAGAGAAAAAAACAAGGAGATATTCCAAAGAAATAACGTCCTTTAGATGTGTTTGACTGAGAGAGACTATAAATAAGACTGTCGAGTGATGTTCATTTGTGAAAAATCAGTCTTACTAAACACATAATTTTACAATAAGATTCAATAAGATACACAGGGACTAATAAGTAAATGTCAATCAAGTTCTAGCACTCAGTGATGTACCTTAATGCACTTGATTGACAGGGGTACACAGACCAGGTATGTTTGAAGGCGGTGCTTAAAATCTCTGCCTTTAAGCAAAACATTTTGTAGTATAGACTTTAACAACTTATTTCCAAAAGTATTTTGAAGAAATAACAATGCAAATATAGCACAGTGAGCATAAGCAAATCAGACTTAGGTATAGGTGCAAGCACATAATTTCGAAAAAAAATATTAAATTTTGATAATAGCATAATGTAGAAACTCATTAAACCTATCTATTTTCTAAATTTCATTTTGCTTTGTTTAAAACTAAAGAAGCTATAGCCATTTAAAGTTTCAGCGAATCAAATTGCAGAACACGTGCAGGCTCGTGTTTTCAAGAATTTCTGTGTATAACATATTGTAGATGAAATGCATGGAAATAACGAACAGCATTCAAGCTCAAAAGTCCATTAAACAATACAAATTTTGGAGCAGAGCAAACACGGACCTCCAAAACATCAGATTTGGGATCAGGTGTCATGGAGGAGTGAGCATCCCCTGCCAACCGGTCACACCCGCCGTGTAGAACCTTATAATATATACCTATATCTTAAATGTCAAAGGATTTTGTCAAAAAACAAGGAAGATATTGAGATTTTTGTTTCAGCCAATCAGAGCGAAGCGCATGTGCATGCGCTTGAGCTCATGCTAATTTGACCATGTCATGTTGTCTACAAAACTAATATATTGTTATGTTTTGTGTTTTGAAGCATAGAAAAGTTATGGTTATATTTAGCATATCAGTCATTTCACTCATTGATGACCTTCGTTCCGCACATCTACACAACATGCCTGTTACTTCTAAAAAGGTTTCAGGTCAATCGGATGAGTAGTTTCCGAGAACATTCGCGGCCAAAAAAGGACCGGAGAAGAAATTTTGAAAAAAAAAGTAAAAACAGTATAGAAACCATTTAACAATTTCAGAGTGGACTTCGAAGGAATAGAAAACATTTAACAATTTCAGAGTGGACTTCGAAGGTGGAATAGAAGCCATTTAACAATTTGAGAGTGGTCTTCGAAGGTGGAATAGAAAACATTTAACAATTTGAGAGTGGACTTCGAAGGTGGAATAGAAACCATTTAACAATTTCAGAGTGGACTTTGAAGGTGGAGTAGAAAACATTTTATCCTGATTTATTTTTACTTGGAGTAAGAAAAAATGTAATTGGAGTGTCATGGACAGCCCCCCCCCCCCCTTGTTTTTTTTCTCCCAAGAATAGTCTTTTACTGTATATTTATGAAAACGTTCAAAGGTCACTCTCCCTCTCCTCTTTCTATTGCAGTATGGGGGAAGTGTCCAGAAAGAATCCGAAAAGTTATAGGAAGATCCCCCCGAACGAAATAGAATTTTCTCCTCCCCGGACTTTGAAAACCGTTGTATTTTCAAAAATTCTTGACCTCGATGGAGGGAAATAATCGTCAACCCATAGACAAATTTTGCTTGAGAGAATCTATTCATTAATAAGGTTTTTGAATTTTTTCATATTTGATTAATACAGGTCGTGAAGACGGCACATTTCTATGTACATTGCATTTTATTTTTTCTCTAAATGGAAAAGAAAGGAGGAGACACTGGACAATCCTTTTGTTTATGAATGCATGTTCCAGGGAGTTTCTCCACGTAATTGAAGGAAACCGTTTTTCAAGATTGACGCTGTAAGGTGAAAATGAACTATTTTAATCAGTTTCACATTTACATTAGTGATTTTGTACACATATGAATTCACTAGTAACAAAAACAATATGCATATAAAAGGCAACCAATGAATCAAAATGCAGTTTTCTTTAGGAGAATCCGATGCCAATCAGTTAAAATCATAATTGAAATTAACTTCTTTTATTTCCATCCATAATTTTTGTAATACTGTATGTTGGTTTGATTATTTTTGTCCATATTTACAGAAATATCACACTTCAGATCATAATATATGACAGAATGCTAGGCTACTCTGCTGGGTGGCGCTGTGGTAATCCTCGTAGAAACCGTATTCGCCGTGGTAGCTCGGGTGTTAGGTCGTGACCTCCAAGGGGGCGGAGACGGTCCCACCCTTCGTTTGACTGTCTCTGATTTACTGCAGCCGTTACCACAACAGCAACACCAACATATGCAAATCAGTGCGATAAGTCCAACAAAAAATCCGAATCCTGCCAGCAGTCCGGTAAGCATGTCCTCCGATAGGAAAGTATTAGTAGACTAAAAAAAAAGTTTGATATGATTGAAACTACAATTACGAACAAAAATTGCAATCCCCCAATAAAAATATGTACAATATGTTGATTGATATCAATTCAGTTTTGTAATTTATATATAGACTATTATTTTGTTAGAGGTCTATAATCTATAATTCCCATGTACCATGCGCCCCCAAGGATATGTTCTTTGTGGTGTTTGCATATATATTGCTATGCAAAACAGTGAACTCCCTGCTGTTGTTGTTCTACCTTAGCTGAAGGGGTGGGTGGGGTGGGGGATTAAGATTCCTACATAATAATTTGATGCCCTTTTGAATTTTTTTGTCTCTATATATTCATATGTTAAAAAAAATCTTTTATGGCTCCAGCCTAGCATTAGGCAGCATTCTGGCTCAATAGTTCTTGAGAAGATTTTAACCTGCCACATCTTTACCAGACATTAAATAATGATCTCCCCTTACAATGATTGATTGATTGATTATTGTTTAACGTCCCTCTCGAGAATTTTTCACTTATATGGAGACGCCACCACTTGCCGGTGGAGGGCTACAAATTTTGACCTATACTCGGCACTTACGGCCATTGAGCAGTGAGGGATCTTTTTCGTGCCAGCACCTACTGCGACACGGGGCCTCGGTTTATACGTTCTCATCCGAAGGACCGGTCTCCACGTCCCACAGTGGGATTCGAACCCGCGACGTAAGGATCAACTCCTTTATCCGCAACTCTAGAGCAGACGCTCTTACCACTGCACCACGCGGGCGACCCCCCCCCCCCCCCCTTTACAATGAATACGTCATTTCATCTTTAAAAAAAAGTACCATTGAAATGATGATGATTTTTGCCAAGCTTGTCCGAAAATGGCAATTTTCGAGAACTATACTAAAGGTAAAAAGTTAAGATATAAAATGTGAAAAGTTAACATATAGATTGAAAGACGGCAGGCCGACATATTTTGATCAGAAAACCTCACTCTGGTGAATAAAAAAACAGTAGCTACTTACGACATCTGTAGAGTTCGACGCAAACACATCTGGAAAGAGGAAATAATGATAATAAATATATCTACAGAAAATGTTTGGTGGATTAATTGAAAGGCAATTGAGGCATATTTTGTCTTCATACTTTGCGACCAATTTCAAAATATACCTTCATTTCATAAAGCTGATAAATTAAAATTACGTTCATGTATGTCAATACATGATATTTCAGTGACCGATCTAGCTAGAGGGAGTCCCCCTCCCCCAATTCTTGCTGCAGCTATGTAAATTTATTAGGGATGTCAAATCGGTCAATTTTTGATAATCGGTTACTCGGACGTTTTTCCGATCGAGTACCTGGGTACTCGGTAAAAATGTAAATACAAGTGTATTAATTTTCTTGAGCTCCGTTAAACCCCAAAGCTGTTTTATCACGTTTATTAATGTATATAAACACTGATTCCAACGTGAATAATTTTTGGTACTAAATATCACAAAAGACATAATTATTACATCAAAAATTACAAATGGTTTTACAGTTCTTGTTTAGAATCTATTTCATCAAAAGGAGGACAATTTGTTACGCAGGTTTGTGATGATTAGACTAGCGAAAGAGAAGGAACGAACGTTATTGGGATCGCTAGTTTAATATTATAGTAAGTTTAGTCTAATATTATAGTCTAATATTATACACATATAGTAAGTTTAGTGTTTACGGGGAAACAATTTCACGTGTTGTTTCTCCCGTATACACTAAACTTACTACGCAAACTGACTTTCAACATTTTTTAAAAATATTTAGTTATTTCTAAATATTTCTTCACTTTCGAAGTGGGTAGCGGTATTTCTATGCATGTCCGATACACATACGAGTAATCGAGTACCATTTTTAGTATTCGATACTCGGACGTTCGATCGAGTACCCGGTTAACCGGGTACCCGTTGACATCCCTAAAATTTATACTTTACAGACCAGTACGCTAAAACAGATTTGGATTTATATTGAACATTTTAATTTACATGTTAATTTAAAAGTTTAAATATCAATTTAAACTTTAAAACAGTTATCGTTTGTTAAACTTACATAAAAGATTGTATAGATAAGTTAAAATTGATAAAATTCAAACTTTAATGTAATATACACATCTATGTTTCCAACATGACTTTGAAAATTCCACATTTAAGAGAATATCCACGTAGATACTATGTCTGTTCAATGCTAGATTTTAAACTGCACGAACAGAAATGAATGGGCATGAATGTTATTGTTCAATAATTGTTCAATATATATAAAGCGACATCACAAATGACGGATGAGAGAGACAAAATTATTAATAAATGTTTATTCACCAGGAACGGTGGAGATTCTAGATATACATTTTTCGTATTTAACTCAAATGGAGTTATTCCGCTTAGAGCGCGATATTTAAGTTTTGGCAGGAACAGTGTTTTTGTTGTTGTTGAAAGGAAATTTTGAAATGTAAAAAAATATAGTGGTTTTTATTCCATTTATTGAAACAGTTACACCAGCCAATAATAATTGGGAGGGAGGGAGGGATGGGGAACTTACAGGTATTCAATTCTATAGAAATCAGTTCACACCATTTTCTGTTTCAATACCTAGCCAGACGTAACTTAAGATATACGATTACAAAATCTGAAGTCAGATCCTCTATCCGCCCTTTTTTTATTTGTCACTACATGAGGAAATCTGATTAAAACCTTATTCTCAATCGCTCTTTTTTATATTGTCAAGAATCCTTAGGGAGCGACAATGAGAAAATATCGAGGAACAAAAATCTGATTTAAATCGGACTGATATGGAATGGGTTCTTGTTTGACACCGTGGTTAAGGAAGTTCGGAATCCTCAGTAACCCCACAATCTCTGATTCTATGTGCAGTAAGTGGGTTAATAATATCGATATATGATATAGATTTATTGAAACCAGAGTCCTTATTTCCATGAGTTGAAAGCATGTCCCGATGGCAATATTGCATCGATTTTTAAACTTCTGCAGTGCATCTTAGCATTGGAACTCGTGCGTACTGTTTGGTTCTGTGTAGAAATAAAGGTTAAAAATTATGAAATACCATTAGTTAGATATTATTTACATTCTTGGCCATTAATGCACTGATTTAAAGGGTGTTAAGACCGTTTTATATACAGGATATTAGAGTACCACGCATATCCGAATCTTGTATATTTTCTTGATAGAAAAAATGTAACCCAGATTCACTTCTTGGTTAACTGCATATGTATTTCATACAGTTCTGGCACTTAAAAGTTTTTAAACCACAAATCAATAAAGACAACATATCCTGGTGGACAAATAAGAAAAAAAAACTTTCACGTGTAATGATGAAGCCATTTTGGATAGCATTTTAGATTACATGTGAAGCCAGAACATCTTTTATAAATGTTCTTTCTTTATATGGGAAATAACACACATCTAGGACATTTACTAAATAATGCTTTTACAATTAAAACTTGCTTTTGGGAAAGATAACATATTTCTTCCTCTTAAACTTTGGTTAATGAATTTGCAATGCCTTAATTGGACATTGTGAAGTGTGTGTGTGTTATGAACATTCATCTTTTTTCTGTCATTGCTCGGGTCGTTTCTATAAAGGCCCTTTTTCTACTGAGGATGTTTTGGATGAGATGGGGGAAGATAACGCTCCTTTTCACGTTTAGTTAATGGTAACGTTTGGTTGCTAAATGTCACTTTCCGGAGTTGATCCTATTTTGGTCGACGGAAATCAGAGTCCAAGATTCCTAATGACCCAACTTTGAGAACCGAAAAAGAATCAGTGTTGTATCAAAAAAGTCGACAAATTAAGCCATGTGTATTGTGTGCAAATCCTTTCCTATGGATTATTGGGTTTGTTGGCTGTAATGTAAAATGTCCAATGCACAATTGAAGCTTTTTATAAGCAAAATCAATACCATTTTAAGTCTCTCATTACAACACTGAGATCAGGCAGACTGTGGGACCGCCGGAAATGTTGATTGCGCAAGAAAACTCCCTTGTTCTGGGATCCATTGAGCGACTAACAGAGCAGAAAGTATTGGCACCGACAAGCAATTCCACTGGCTGTCTTGAACATTACCTAATTGCAGTGTTTCAATACATGACTCATCCGTCCAATTTTTGTCATTTATTTTCTAATCAATTGTTATTTGACGATTGTTTGGGTATGTTTTGATTTCCAATTGCAAACCTCATAATATCATATTATTTTTGTTTTTGTTTTTTTTTTCAACTAAAAATGCGAAATGTAATAGGAAGGACAAATAACTCTCATATGTTGCAAGCGAAGAATAAGTCGCTATCTCAGAATGCATTACAACCTTAAACAATCAGCGCTTGTCTAACAGATAAAAATCTCACCAAAAATGTCAGATCATTATGATAAATACATTGATATAATATCAGAAAATGTATATCAAGTGTCCTTTTTTCGTGACTACGGGTCTTCTAGCGCACATAAGATGACAACAAACGTGTTACTTAATTATTCACCGACATTGATTGTGTCTGATACATCACTAATTGTATTCTCCAGCAATTTGAGAGTTGACAACTCCAGTGTATTAAGTTTCCATTAAGACCACATTTCGAAAATTCTTCATTAACTCCGCTATATTTAACGGCGCGGTGATTATTGGTGTATAATTCTCAAGCTGATGTTTGCGGCGTTTTTATGTACGAAAATATTAATATTATTATTATTAAAGTACATGAACATACAGTATGTCTAATTATGAAGGAGTTGTTCACATACAACTTTTTTTCAGAAATTGATAAAGAAAAATTAGAAATATCTTTAGGATACAAAGTCCGAAGTATTTAACATACCCTTAGCCTATCCTTCTCATGTCAACAAACATATTTCTGTCATGCTGTAAACATTGGAGAAAATCAGCAATGAATAAAATTTTCGAGAACACTTAAAAGCTCTAAACTGAACAAATTACTTTCTTGTTTAAAACTGCATTTTATTTCTTATTTTTATACAAAAAAAAAAGAAAAGAAAAAAGGCCCATACACACGGATCAATATTTTACAGATTGCAAAATATTAACCTATTGTCATTTTTTACAGTGTAATAATATAAACTGAAACAGAGAGAATCGGTTCATTCCAAGTATGTTAGAGTTTTTCCCTCTAAAACAAGGACTATATATTTTTATTCGAGGACATTGACTTGTCTTCCGGGTTGATAGTCTGTAGAGTGCGTGAATTGAAGAAACCTTGACAATAAATTTACTTTTTCATGCCTAAAAAGCCATTTTAATGAATTTAAGCAAGTGTGTAATCAAATGGCTATCGTCAAACATATTTTACAATAGAATACGTCTGTGTGTTGATGGATGAATGGACTGGTGCTATATATCCTTGATTAGTAACATAACAAATTGATGACTTTCATCCCAAACATCCTACTTGATTGGCAAAATAAAAAATTGTCGCCTTTTTTTTATTGATGATTACACGTAATCGAAAATTTAAATATTGACGAGGTTGGAATGACAAATGTACTCTACTCGAGCACAATAAACGAAAATCAAGTACAGACCAATTATCAAGGAAACCCTTGAATAATTAAATGTACTCAGAAAATGAAATTCTCTCAGTCTTGATTAAAAAGGTTCTTTATTGGTACATATATATGAGATATGATTTTTTTTTATTTTTTTATATATAGGGTATGACTTTTTTTCGTTCATATACCTGTAACTTGAGGAAATCGTAAAACTCTGTGGGTGAGTGTGCAGTAGCACTTAACATGCTTAGGATACCAGAACACCTTGTGGATGGTCATGCTATTGGCATCTTTGTTTACTTCATTTGTTAAACAAGCATTTTTTTTTTGTACAACCTGAGAGCATTCACGCAAAACTGATTCCTATCCCCTCAAAAGATCACCTTTATTGAGAACTAACGGGTTTATTATTATTCTATCTATCGTCGGCAATACACTTTTCTCAAAGAAAAAAACCCTCATTGAACATTTGCTCTGTTTATAGTTGTTTGCATGGACTGCGTGTGAACTATTTAGAAAATAAAACTCCTCTATACTGAGTGACTTAGTTGTTGAGGTAGTCCGATCCTCATGTTCCGAAAATCAGTAGTTAAGTAATTGAAAATGCTCACAAAAAGTCACTGAATGTGTTACCCATGGTATTTCTCCAAACTTCATCTTGATAGTTAATCATATTATCAAATCTTTAAATATATTTTCAGGAAACCCGAATAAAAGCACCAGCTATACATTACCTAATTAAAAATTGATCAACAAACATATTTTAGGATAGAAAACTATTTTGTATCCAAGCATTTGGAGAAAATTGCATGGTTTTAATACTTATTTGGTATTTTAGTTCTTCTATAAATTACTTCAATTACTGAGTATTTTATTATATCAAGTGTAAAAAGATTCTGCTATCATTGCAAGACATAACAGAACACTTCTCTTTTCATTTCATGCTATAAGCATTGGTGGATAAAAGGAAATTCGATTATTCTAAAAATGTATTTACAATTTTATGGGGTACAAATGTTAACTTTTTACACGGCCATTTCTAAGACTTCAATGAATCTTCAATCATATTGAGATGCATGAAATGAAAATTGTTGCATGAAAAGATTTCAATTTCAAGCTTCATATTTTGAGACTTTTTAAATTAAAATATCTAATGTATAATGAAGGAATATTGAACAATTTTGAATTATTTTAAACTAGTTTTAAATGTGTATTGCTAGAAAATGGTGAAAGTAAAATGAACCAAACTCTTATGACTGATAACATATTAGAAGCCGTCCATTTTGCATCTTAAAAGTTTTTGAAGAGTTATCTGTCCTTGATGAAAAGAAGAAAATTTTAATTTTGTCAAAATATCTGCGGTAGATAATTCATTTATTTCATATTTTAATAAAGAGAGAGAGAGAGAGAGAGAGAGAGAGCTTATGCATATTTTCACCAAGAGATTTGTATGAAGTTTAAATTATTTTTTAAAATATCTTAATAAAAGTGCGCTGCCCATAGACTTCAATGTAAATGTACTCAATTAATTGGACAAAAATCAGAAATTTGTAAATTCTTTTGGTGGAGTATTTTTATTTAATAACACCTTCAAAAGGCTACCATGATTAAATATATCGAACCATTCATTTATTAGGTACAAAATATGGTCTTTATATAGTTAATACCATAAATAATGAAGTTAAGAGTTATCGTTCCTGGCTGAGGAGCGGATATCCTTAAATGACCCCTCGGGATTCTTGCTTATTTTATTATAAATCAATTATAAAGTCTGTTTCTTTGTAATTCCCTCAAATTTGGTGAATCATGAACAGTGAAAGGGACTAAGAGATACACACCCTTCATTTACCAATTCCACACAGTTCCGGGTTTCCGGTTCTTACTTGTATCTTTATATTCATTATCAGTCAAAAAAAAATCACCCCCGGGAAGGGACTTGACTACAATTTTTCACATCAATTTTTTTTTACTTCTGTGCACCTGCCCCATATAAAAACACCCTTGCTCTACGTGATATGACAGGAAATAGCTAATACTAGTAACTGGTGGAATAGAAAAGCTAATATCGTCTGGTAATGCTGGCAAAAGTTGTGCTAGATTAGATAAGATAATTTCACCAAGTAATGAGCGGAATATACTCTGAAGTAAAAACGTGTAATTAGTGCCATTTAATTCTTACCGTATTACAATGCTCAAAACAAATTTTTCGATTATCTAATATTCCTTATTCATCTTTCCCGCAAATGTGTTTGAACCCCCAAAATGTTATTTTAGCCTAGAAAGCAAAACGGTATGTAATCCCATATATTAGTAAAATGAATGTCATTCTTTGGCCTTTACATGTAAGGGTTAAAATCCTTCTTCTGACTAAAAACAAGTGATCTCTTTAAAACAGAATAGATAAAAAAAAATCATTCTTCACAATTCCATTATTTTCAACTCTATCAATTACGAAATGTTCAATATTAATGGAAAGGAAAATAAAAACCCTTAGCGGAAGCACTTTTCAACTCTATTTCATACGAACAATGGGAGAAAAACAAAGTAGCAGATAACAGCTTTGTGGTGAATAAGTATTCAAACAATATAATTTTATGAATATTGAATAATTATGTTTTCTAATAGAGGGTAGGTAGGTAGAATTTTTTAAAGACCATTAGATAGTCACATGAACAAATAAGTATAATAACTTCTATTTCGAAATATAAATGAGTGATTTTCTAGATGATATGTAATTTGGGTCTAAATGCGGCATTATTGGCGTTACAAGCGTCGCGCTCAACACAGTTCGAAACATTTTTTACACCACATTTTCAAAGCAATAAAAATTTATGTGTATCCTATATACTGCGTTTAAGAGTTATTTTATAATTCAAATAAAATTATTCTGAGGTAATTATTTTTTTCATGAAAATAAAATTATTATACCAAATTCACCAGAAATTCGAAACATGCCAAATGTTACAGCGAGCAACCTTTCTCTCTGAATTGTAATATATCTGAACTCCAATGAAAGAAGTTTTCAGTTTTTCCCCCTATATATTAGAAGAAAACACAGAATATAGAATGAACATTAACAATAATAACAGTAACCAAAAAAAAGCTTACCGTTTGATAACAGAAACTGCATCAGAGAATACTTCGCTATCTGTAAAATGTTAGTCCCTTTTACAATCATTGTGAATATCTTTTTATAAGTAATATGAAGTAGATTTGTCCAAAGTCAACTGTCTCTTTTTCATGCTGTAACATTTTTTTCCGGTTTGAAAATAGTGATCATTTCTTCACATCTCCATCTTTAGTGTGCAGTTACCTATGAAATGTGACGCATGCGCCTGGAATTGCTTGATGAAGTAAAATCATTGCACCTGTATTGCGCGATCAATTAAACCTGCAACCATCCCTAGGCGATTTTAATTTTATCGATTGTTTTGAAATGGTCATCAGCTTTTGTTTAGGGTTTTCTGTTAATTCACTCTTACGGGTAATACAAAACCTATCCAATTATTGTGTGACCTTTGATTTTATGCTCAGGAAAACCCCAAAACGCGCTGCTAATTGATCTTTTGTTTTTGTGTGATTCGTTGTAGAGTTAATGCGGGTTGATTTCGGGTGAAAAGTACACATTGTGGTCAATATTGTTTCAAGCACACGATAGCATCAAGGCAACAAAGTGAAAATAGAGCCCAGTCCTAATTGAAATCTGTTGACATACACTTAGCTGTCCACAAACAAAATTAATTTGTTTACGTCGAATATGAAGAATAATATTTATATAGCAATTGAAATTGAGCATTTAAAAAAACATGTAAAGCTTGTCCTTTATTTTAAAAAATGTCTTTTTAAGGTCAGACGACACATTCTTCAAATACATGTATAATTATATAATTTTAACCAAGAATTTTTGATTTAAGTATATTGCTACTAGCTCCTCACCAAAATTGGGGTACATTACCAGGCAGTGCATTTGTGCAAGATTCCAAAGGATGAAATTTCTTATACAACCCTACTGGAAATTATTTTAATTGCTGATGTCACGATTTTTGGCTTGATCACCAGCACGTGACCTTCTAGGTGAACATAAGGATTATTTTTTCTACTTTGAACTAAAAATAGAACTTCCATACTGATAAACTATTCATGAATGAAAAGTTATTTCACTCAGGTGAACGCAACATTCGGGCACGTGGTATGTGTGAATATGTGTGTGTGTGTGTCCCCACCCCCACCCTTTTATTAAAAGTGAATTTGTACTATTAATTAAGTATGAAAATTGAAAATGTTCATTGTGGGGTAGCCCCCGATCTATATTCAAATCCCTCCAATGTTCATGGATCCTATAGCCCCCCCCCCCTCCACACACACCCACACTCACACACACACACACACACACGAAGGAAATAAGATTTTCGAGTTTGGATCAAGAATTTCCCCCTTTTTTGGCTTGCAAAAGACTTTTTCAAGTAACTTGTCTTTTTTTCCCTGCCTGCCCCTCTCACTTTTTTTTAATGGATGCTACGTGTCTGACAATTGCATGAAATTCCCAAAAATTCCAAATTAATACAACTGATTATGTTTATTTCAACCCTGCTTTCTCACTGTTTGGCTTGGACTTCAACAAATGCAAACAATCAAGAAAGATATCATGGATCTCTGAAAGAGTTTGCATCATTTAACCATTAAATCAATTAATAAAACAATTATTGTTGTTTTTTTCGGTCAATACGATGATTTTTCTACCCTCGAAGTACAATATTCACCTCGCCCTTCGGACTCAGTCAATATTTTACTCCTCAGGTACCTAAATCATCGCATTGACCTCAAAAACAGCAAAAAAGTATAATATTTTTGATATTTTACAAAGATCTGAAAAAACAGTTATTCGAGGGACGTGTCGTTAGACCTTTAAGGTCAAGATTATTGCAGCAAATTCCTTAAAAATATCTGATGCTGCAAATGAAAATGACTCCTTGCTTTAGTCAATCTGTAGTTGACTTGCTTAGGAATTATAGTATTATTACATTGATTCAAGGTCACTGGGTATGCAACGGGGACGAAGGTAAAGAGTCTAGGTCATATAGCCGTATATCACCATCGTTAGCCAAGCATCCGATTCGAATCTCCTCGTCTCTGCCAAGGGGAAGATGATGGGATTCGAATCGGATACTTGGCTTTCAAAGATCCGTATATAATATTTATGTCATGTAAATTTTGAATTTGCCCAGTCGCAGTATATGTCATGTGAATTTTGTATTTACTGTCGTTCGGTAAAATTTAACCTTAATTGAAGGTCATAATTCAAGTATCACAGTCGTTGTTGTTACCTTGGAAGAAAAAGACTTGATAGTTTACTAATACCAAAATTTACATATAAATATATGTAGTTTATTGATATGTTTATATCACTTTAGTACGCTTTATAGAACTTCTCCTATTCCTTGTTGTTCTTCATTTATTAATTTATTTATCTATCATCTATACTTATTTCAACTTATTAGTTGATTAATTTCTTTTTTAATTTGCATGGTGGAGAGACAAAAAACCGAATGTTCTCCGTCTTCAATTTGATACCAAGTTTTCTAGTTGGTTTGATTTGGACTTTGTTTAGAGCTAAGAAGAATGAAACTACAGAATCAATGCTATCACATCAAATCTGTCACTAGCTTAACCCATTCAAACAGCATCCTTGACGATGGGCCATTATAAAATACCTGCACTGTATACCCTTTTACTAGTGTATGTAGGTCGTACGCCCTAGCAACTAACAAGGAACAATTATAACTGCTCTAATTTGCGAATATTTACTGATGTCTCGATTTCTTTTAATATTTTTTCTATTACAAGTTCATTACAGTATCGTTCTACAAGGCAGGAACCAGGCTTTATGATGGTTTGTGGCATTTGAAGCAATACTTTTGACGATTCCACAAATATTTTGAGAAAGGGTTGAAATAACTATAATGTGACACAAGAGGATCACATCGTTTGTATGTGCAACACCGCTGGTATTGATGGAAGCCAATTCTACGTTTGATCCACCATGTGTTTGATTTAAACAATAAATCGATGACTACAGAACGTCAGCGGTACTGAAATAGGGATGTGTGCTCAATTAATATTGTTTAATTAAGGATTCTCAATGAACTCTTGCGGCATCTTACAAATGGTAAATCCAGATCAATCAGGACATACATCGAACCAATAAACCTTTGAATTGTTCTGTTTGTTAGTTATGGGTACTTTCAGATTCTAGATTTGCAACAAACAAGAAAAGTGTCATTAACCATTGATGAATCAGCATAGTTGGATTCGCAGGAATCACGTGGAAACAATAACACGTGATTTGCTTAATAGCCTCTTTTACATGTATAGTGTCTAGTCGAAGATGGTTATTACTTTTAGGTCACCTGAGTCACTCGGGTAACCTATTGCTATATGTTTTTGCTATCTGTTTTCGTCACGCGTCGTTCGTCGGTCGAAAACTTTTGAACAATTTCAGCTTCATGAACCAATGATTGAACCACTGAACCAATTTTAGCGCATAGCTTCAATTTGTGAAGGAACACAAAAATTGTGAATTTCATGGCCCCTGTCCTTCTGGGGCTTTTGGGTGGGGCTAAAACCATCAAGATTAGTGCTATCTTTTAAAAAAAATTTTAACTCCTAAACATCAAGCAGTCAGACTGTTGGCAAGATTGTAATAAGCATTGAGCCCTCTACTAAAATTGTGAAATTCATGGCCCCAGGGGTCAGGAGTTCTGGAGTTAAGGTGGAGCTCTAATGATCATATAGCAGAAAAATTCTTAACAAATTTTCTTTTTTCCCTCTGTATATAAAGCAGATAAACTATTTTTTTTTTGTAAAACTGTAAAACTGAAATGTATAGTAAATGCATGGGCAATGCTTGATTTGATTTGTTAATATAAAAAATTATAATAAGTATTACTATAGCTGTAATATTGAACAGTTGTTTTTTTTTGCGGGGGGGGGGGGGGGGGAGGTGCACAGTGAGTGTGTGGTGTGTGTGTGTGTGGGTGTGTACGTGTATGAAAACTTTTTCAAAATTAAAGCATTAAAAAAAAACTTTGAACATTTAATCTTCCAATACATGTATAGTACATGTATATAGTGAATGATGGTCTATAGATGTCATGATTATTTATGTTTATGCATTAAATGTATATATTCATCAGAATAAAAAGCAGATAAACTATGTGCATGATTATGGTGACCAAGCGTGCCTCTTCTTAAATTGTTAGATTTAATTGTGGCCCCAAAGTGAGGGATTCTGAGGGAGGGGGCTCTATTTATTACATTAGTAAAATGCATTATTTCTTGGAAAATCTTCTTTTCTGCTCCTGTGTATTAAGCAAACAAACCAAATAGTTATGATGAGCAAGGGTGCCTCTTCCAAAATTGTAAATTTCATGACCCCTGGGTCAAGAGTTTTGATGGTAAGGTGGGGCTCTATTGATTATATAGTGAAATGCATTAATTCTTTGAAAATCTCCTCTGATCCTGGATATTTAGCAGAAAAACTAAGTACATGGTTATGATGATCAAGAGTGCCTCTGCCAAAATTATGAAATTTGTGACCACAGGTTCAGGAGTTCTGTGGGAAGGGGAGGGGGGGGGGTCTTTTGATTATCTATAGTAAAAGTGTATGATTTCTTTGAAAATCTTCTTCTCTGCTCCTGAATTTTAAGCAAACAAACACAGTGCATAGTTATGATGAGCAAGTGTGCCTCTTCCAAAATTGTTAATTTCATGGCTCATGGTTGAGGGGTTCTGGTGTTAGGACAGAGAGTTCTATTGATTATAAAGTAAAAATGCATTAATTCTTTGAAAATTATTTTATTTTCTCTGCGTCTTAATATTCAACAGTTAAACTAATTGCAGGGTTGTGATGATTAAGATTACCTCTTCAAAAATTGTTTAATTCGTGGCCCCAGGGTCAGGGGTTCACGTGAATATATAGTACAAATACATTATTTCTTTGAAAATGTTCTTCTCTGTCCCTGAGTATTTAGCAGGACAAACTAATTCATTGTTATGATAAGCAAGAATGTCTTTAAAAAAATGAAATTCATAACCTCTGGGTAAGGGCTTTTGTTTTTAGGACAGGGCTCGTTTGAATAAAAAGTAAAAATGCTTTATTTCTTTAAAAATCTATTCTGTCAATGGTTATTTAAAGCAAGCATACTTAGTGTATGATTATGATGATCAAGGGGGTCTCTTCCAAAATTGTGAATTTCTTGATCTCTGGGTCAGGGTCTCGAGTGGTAGTGTGAGGCTATG